GGGCGGGGGCCTGGCGGGAAGGCGGGGACAGGGCGGGGACGCGGGGGGGTGCTCTTGACGTCACGGGAGGGGGCTGTGCGTGCTCGTGACGTCACTGGGGCGCCGTGTGGCCTCGTGACGTCACGGGATGGGTGCTGTGCGTGTGCATGTGACGTCATGAGGCGGAGAGGGATCGCTGTTGGTGCCCGTGAGGTCACAGGGAGGAGGGGGGCGGTGCTGAGGGTGCCCGTGACGTCACGCGCCGCCATGTTGAGGAGGTGGCTGAGGGCAGAGCTGGTCCCGCCTTCCCCGTTTCCCTGGGCGGGCGCTGTCGCTGAGGGGTTTCCCTCCTCCGCGGGGCCAAAACCGAAATAAAAGTTGTCTGAGGGCACAAACTGTGTCGTGTCAGTGCGCGTGGGGAGGGAGGAGGGCGGGGAAATGGCGCCCGACGGGGAGAGTGCGGCCAAGGGGGGGCTGTGGTTGAGGAGATGGAGGTGGGTAATGGCTGAGGAGATGGGGATGGGGCTGAGGGGCCGAGGGGTGTTATGGTTGGAGATGGTGGGACGGGGGGCTGTGGGTGAGGAGATGGAGGTGGGTAATGGCTGAGGAGATGGGGATGGGGCTGAGGGGCCGAGGGGTGTTATGGTTGGAGATGGTGGGATGGGGGGCTGTGGGTGAGGAGATGGAGGTGGGTCATGGCTGAGGAGGTGGGGCTGTGGCCGAGGCGATGGTGGCAGGTTGTGGTGTTTCCCTGTGGGGCTGTGGCTCTGGGAAGGGGGGATGTCTCAGCGAGGGCCCAGCTTTTTGGGGTGCGTGGCTGAGGGGGAACGAAGGAGGTGACAGTCCCCAAAAAGCCCCTTCCTGGGCACACCTGAAGGCCCCCTGTCCCCGTCCCCGCTGTGGCATCACCAGGGCCTGGCAAGGATCCAGGGGCCCCAATCCTGGTGTCCCTCTTTCTTCCTGGGAATGATGAGCCTCCACATGAGCTCAGAGCAGGGGTGAGTCAGGAATTTGTGCCCAGCACCACGTTCCTCTGGAATTTGCACCATCATCCCTCTGGGAGCCGTCGTGATCCTGAGTCACCATCCTGCCGAGTCACCACATTAGTCACAGCCTGAGTTCTTCCCTGAGAACTCTTGGAACAGTGAGGCAGAGCAGCGGCAAAGGGGCTGGTTCTGTGAAAAGGGCAGGAATGTGGGAATAATTGGAATTAGATGATCTTTAATGTCCCTTCCAAACCACTCCAAGATTCCTGAAAGCTTCCTCTGTGATTCAGTGATGTTTTCCCGCCCACTCACCTCAAATTTAAGAGGCTACATTCCTTTCTTCTGCAATATGAATGTATTGAAATAGGTATGAAAGTATAAAACTTAAAGATACTGAAGTTTCACCTAAACACATGAAAAAAAAATTACTATATTTTGCGAGGAATTTTAGTTTACATATTAGAAACGAAAATTTTATTTGAAGAACACACCGACGTTGCTCCGAAAATTTAGCAGAGTTTGTATTTTTCGAGTGATTTTTACATCAAAACGTTTATTTTTGGGGGTTATCAAATGCGCTTTTTGAGTCTGAAGTTGCTTTATAAGAGACCTTTAAGTTCATTAAGCCCAAATTGCTGGGGAGACGGTGGAGATCCAATTAGTGGCTCTCTTGCCCGGCTGTTCCCTTTAATTCCCATTTTCCATGGATTCAGACTGTCTGCAGGTGTCGCCGTTGCACCACATTCCCGGCCGTCCTCGTCCATCCCGAACTAACTGCTGGGAATGAACTCGGTCAGGTTTTTAAGGCAAAATGGAGCGTCTTTCCAGCTGTAATTCCCTAATTACATCGAAACTTCTAATTTCGCTTAATGAATCGCGCCGAGAATGGCACTAATTTGTTTAATTGCCTAAAAAAAAAAGCGAGGACGAAGCCATTTGTGCAGAAAAGCACCGAACACTGATGTTGTCTGGCTGAAGGAGGGAATTGTAATGGATCCTGTGTCATTCCAGATGGTGAGTTTTGTCCTTTATTGACTCCATGGATCCCACGTGGTGCAACAATCGCAGCAGCTGCACATGGAAATGAATGGATGGCTCTTCCATATCCATTGGTTTTGTCACCTTCAATCACATTTTCATGGACTTTTGCTCTGTTTTTTGCCTGGTTGTGGTGGGATAACGCATCCAGGACCTGCTGTTCCTCCTGGGAATGAAAGACTGGGAAGGATCGTCCACTGGGTCTGAGCTTCCCAGGTTCAAGCAGGATAATTTCCAGTCCAGAAGCATCTCCAGAACTTCTGCTCCGGGTGACACCACAGCCAAAGCCACAGGACGATTCCCAGTGGGAAAATCCCACAGCAAATTCTAAAATCCCCGGTAATGATAAGACCTGGGAAGAGGAAAATCTTGGGGCACTGACAGTTATCCAGGAGCAAACCATTCATTAAGGAAAAGCAGGAAGCACTTGAGAGGAGGACAGAAAAACACTCTTAAAAAATCAGTTATTTCCAAACCTGTTTTTCCAGACTCCGGATCTGGGAATCTGTTTATCCCTGAGCAGGCTGTGCCCCCACATCCCAGCTGTTCTGCCATCACCAGGGACAGCCACCTGCAGATTTGGTGTCCGTATCCCTACGGATCTGTGGGGTCCATGGGAAGTCGGTGCTTCCCCCTCCTCACCTCCCTGTCCCACATCCAGGGGCCAACTCGGCTTTCCCAGTTGTCATAATATTTAAACTCCAGCCTTTTACTTTGGCAACAGATGTTTTAAAGGACAACTTGTATTCCCCAAAGTGCTTTGGGAGCCCTGGGGGAGCTCCCAGGAAGCTTTTTCCCGGCGCACAGAAGCCACTTGCTCCGGCTTCCAGCTTTGTTTTGAGGCTGGCTGGATCCTCTGGATTTCTCCAGCTGCCCCCTCGTTTACTTTGTGGTTTATTGAAATATCTGTTTCCTCTTTCTGGTCTCTCTCCTCAGTGCTCCGTGTGGGAGTCACGCCGACAGAAAACCGATGGAACAGAGAAACGCTGGCAGTGATTCCATGTAAAGCATTCCAAGATGTGAGCGAGGAGCTCTTGGGATGGTGCTGGAACTCTTGGAACTCCAGGTGAGGCTCCAGACACAGGCCTGGGTGAGAAAACCACTCTTTAAAGTGTTAAAAGTTCTGTGTTTTTACAGCTCTGCTCAGCAGCTGGACACGCTTTGTATCCGTCACGATATTCCTGCCTGGAAAACGACGCTGCCTGAGCCAAGTATGGAAACACTGGGGTGTTTTTAATACCTGATTTCACTGTACACACGGTCTGATGCCACTTACATGGAACATCCCCTGGCTGGTTAAAGGATGTTTGATTCATTATTGTTCATTATTTGGCTTTTGTTGCTCAGCTCAGGCGCCCGAGTTCCCTCATAAAAACGTCTCCGACACTTTTCCAAGCGTGGCCGTTGCAGCACCTTTGGAATACATTTGTTTTAACTGGAATGCATTTCTTTTTCTAATCACACTTTATTTGCTTGTTACACTGTGGGACTCCTCTTCCTCACACCAGCTGCCACAGGGGAGATGAATCCCACATTTTCCCCACTTCCATGCACAGCTCCCACCCAGTGTCTGCATCCAGCAGTCCCTGAATGCAGGGAGATGATTCCAATGGCAAAAGACCTGGTCCATGGGTGTTGCCCTGGGGTCTTGTTGTGCCCTTCCAAAAATTGGCCTCAGCCAGGGCAGGGTTGTGCCAACAGGATGGGGAGCTCCTTCTGGAGCAGCCAGAGGATCCAATGTTTCCATGCTTGGCCCTGGCTTTTTTCTATGGGAATGCTGCAGCTCCTTGAGCCATGGCTCTCGAGTCCCTGTTTCCAGCAGGGAACTCTACAAAGAGTTATGGAATCACAGAGTGGTTTGGGTTGGAAGGGACATCAGGGATCATCCTGTCCCATGCCCTGCCGTGGGCAGGGACACCTTCCTCTATCCCAGGTTGCTCCAACCTGGCCTTGGACACTCCCAGGGATCCAGGGGCAGCCACAGCTTCTCTGGGCAACCTGTGCCAGGGCCTGCCCACCCTCCCAGCCAGCAATTCCTTCCTGATATCCCATCCATCCCTGCCCTCTGGCACTTTAATCTCTGGCACCGCCTGAGCTCTCCATCCCCAAATCTCGGGAGATGCTCTTCCAAGCTGCTGGCACGCGGGGTAAGTGCTGCCATCCCCAGTCCCTTTGCCTCAGAGGAGGGGTTTTGTTCAGCGCTGGGCCGTGTGGGGCGGTCGGGTGCCCATCCCACATGGCAGTGGATCCCGGATCCCGAACTGTTGTTTTGCCACCGATTGTCCCCCCCTTGGCACCGCCTGGCCCCGTGCCCTGTCTGGGTGCCCGCCCGCCGGGCCGGAATGTGGCTGCCGGGCAATCCCGATTGTCGCACAGCACGGGCCAAATTCGGGATCAGATGTTTCCTCTCCTGAGCCCCGGAGTTCAATGTCCTTTCAGCGGCAGAGTTTATCCCTGAATGGAAAGTGCCGGGACCGTGCTTTGCATCTCGTTATCGCGCCCAGACAGCGTGTAAGCGATTCTCTCTGGGACAGATTTGGATCTGTCTGTGCCTCTGGGGCACCGCTGCCTTTATCCACCTCCAAATACATCTCCAAATCCCTCCTTTTCCCTGGAGAGCGGCTCCCGCTTTTCAGAGCTGTGACGGGACCCCGCGTTCTTTCGGGATACTCATCCCAACCGAGCATCCAGACATGCAAGAGCCTTGATGCACGTAATTAACGCGCGGTCTAGAATATGCAAATGTGCTTTTTTTAATTAGCCCCGGAGACGCCCAACCACGTGCAGGGTGAGCAGGGAGGGGAGAGGATGGGGCAGCACAGCCCAGACGCTCGTGGGGGCAGAGAATGAAGCTCAGCATCAGCTGATTCCCAGTTACAGGGTGTCCAGTCTGTGCTGCCAGGCTGCTCCCAGGAAAACAGACCAAACCCGGGCTAAATCAAACCAGAACCGTGCCGGGAAGAGACCAGGGAGGTTGTGAGATGTGTCAGAATTAACCCCCCCCACAGGTGAGGAGCAAACAGGTTAAAGTGTCAGGAATCCACGGAGTGGGGAGTGAAAGGAATCCATGGATTGAATCCTCGCCTAAATGGCGTCAAAAAGCAGATTTTTCCTGCCAATTAAAATTTAATTTCCTGATAATTAAAGGGGGAGATACTCAAATAAGGACTTGCATGGTCCTCACCCCAATCCCAGCACCTCTGGTGTCTAAAAGTGGAGGCATATGAAGATCCACAGCTGGGCTGCAAGGCTTGAGGGTGGATCCAGAGGAATCTCGGGAGAGGAAGGCTCAAAGGGAAGAGCTGCTCCTGGGATACATCTCCATGCTTTCTCCCATCCCATGGCATTGGCAAGGACCAGGGTAGTCCTGACCTCATCCCCAGCAGGATGCCAGGGGAGCCTCTGTCCTGCTCCCCATCCCCTCTGGCATCTTGTCTTTTGGGGGGTGTTCTGGAGAGTTCTGGAATCCTCTTCCAAAGGGGTTAATGGAGCTTTTGGAAGGGATGAGGAGAAGAAATATCCTTGGCTCCCAGGACTGTGGCCCACTCACAGCAGGATCCTGTTGTCCTTCGAGTGTAAGGACAGAGGACTGCTGTGGTATCCAGATGGGATGCCAGGCTGTCCCTGTCCCAGGATCAGCAATGCCAGGCTGTCCCTGCCCCAGGATCAGTGATGCCAGGATGCAGGATCAGCAATCCCAGGATGCCCCTGCCCCAGGATCAGTGATGCCAGGCTGCCCCTCTCCCAGGATGAGCAATGCCAGAATTCTCCTGCCCTAGGATCCGTGATCCTGTGTCAGTACAATTTGCCATTAAAGCCACATTTTCCCTGAGTTTCTCATTTTAACACCACCTTCATGCAAATGTTTCCTCCAGTTTCCCTGTCCCGCCTTTTTTTTTTTTTTTTTTTTTTACATATTCCAAACCTGCCACGGTGTGACTTCAAGGAAATTCCCCAAATCCCCAGGAACTGCCCTCTCTCCCAAGCAAAGCTGGGCAGGCCCCATTCCTGCTCCCACACCTGTCGGACCAGTAGGATCGGGGAGGCCCTGCCCCGGTGCTTTGTGGCTTCAGTCATGTTTATAAACTACCCCGAGATCTGAGAGAAAAC